CCCAAAACCCCAAAACCCCAAAACCCCAAAACCCCATGATTCTGGAAGCACATTGAATTAATTATCTCATTTTTGGATATTTGCTTTCGTATTCTTGAAGCTTTTCTGTCAGATTCTGCTTTTTCTCGGTTATCAAGGTTTTCTCCTGCTTTAACACATTGTTATCAAGCTCTAGAGCTTTATTTTTATCAGAGAGGTCTTTCAGCTGTTCTTCATAGCTCTTGTTCTTTTCAACTTCTTGCTGGTACTTGGTCTCAAATGATCTAAGGTTTACGATAGCCTTATTCTTCTCATCAATGTCACTCTTGTACTTTCTATGGAGTGTTCTTTTAACCTCCTCAACCTCTGTGGTAAGATCATCAATCTTCTTAAGATTCTCATTGATTTCTTGCTCATATTCAGTCTTCATTTGGTTAATCTTCTTAGATTGTTGAGACCAGGAGTCTTCCAAAGATTCTGATGAGAGCAGATCACCGTCCTCATCGTCCTTCTTTTTGACCTTATCCAAGATTTCTTCGAGCTCGGCTTTGCATAAGTTGAGGAGTTGGTCAAAGGCAGTATCATCTTGCTTATCATCAGTCTCGAACTTATTCAATAGCTTGTACTGAAGAACCTCCATTTTGTTCTTTGATTCCATCTCAATTTGATCTATTAGGAATTATTACTGTTAGGATCAGAAGAATGTGGATTTAAAGTGAAAAATGATGTTAACTCAAAATTACCTCTTTCTCTCTCAGCTTTCTGTACACGAGTTCTAAGTTCTTCGTTCTCGACTTCTAATTTATCAAGCTTGATCTTATAATTCTCTGACTTCTCAATCGCTGTGTGATTAGTGTTAGCCAGCATCTCTAGCTCATTTCCTTTCATTTCAAGTTGGGTTTCAGTCTGTCTCATTCTCTTTTTCCGGTCTTCAAGATCTATCAGGACTTCTTTCTTATAAGCTTCAAGTTGTTGGATCTTACTCTTCAGAAGTTTAGTCTCCTCATGATCTTCAAGAATAAGGGAGGACTTGCTCATTGCTTCTTTAAGCTCTATTTAGGATTATTATGATTTAAACTTACCTGCATTCTCTTTCTGAGCATTTTCTAAATCTTTAGAAAGCATCTTGTTTTGAATTTTTAATTCATTGTTTTCATCTGTGAGCTCTCTTACTTGCTTATTCATCCTTGTCATGACTGAATCTGGCTGATCTGAGGATATCATTAGCTTAGTCTTTGATTTGGAATCAGACTCAATCTTGTTCTTTAGGGACGGCTTTGAAATAACAGCATATTTCCCTTTTTCAATTTCACCACACTGATCGAGCTTCTTCTGAGGGATCAATATTTTAGAAATAGTTGGCTTTGAAGGTTGGTGAGCTTGGAACCAAGGATGCTCCAATATTTCAGACAGCCCAATTCTGCTATCTGGGTTTGACTTAAGTAATTTAATAACCAAGTCTTTAGCAACCCCAGAGAATCCTTTAGGCCATCTGACTTTGAAATTTAAAATATTTTGAAAAAGACCTTGTTGACCCTTCCCTTCAAATGGAGGTCTTCCTGTTAGAAGTTCAAAGAATAGGACTCCAAGATTCCAAATATCAAGATTCTTATTATGTCCCTTTTGTTCGATCATTTCTGGAGCTAAATACTCTGGGGTTCCACAGTAAGTTTCTCTCTTCGCACTATCATTAAAGAAGTTAGACCATCCAAAATCTCAGAGCTTTACAGAATCGTTGGAATCAAGAAGGATATTTTCTGGTTTGATATCTCTATGAATAATGGGAGGATCAAGTGAATGTAGGTACTCAACAGCACTAATAATCTCTCTCATGTACTTAGCAGTCTGCTTCTCATTTAATCTTCCTTCCTTCTTCAGCAAGGTATAGAGTTGTCCTCTACTACAAAATTGCAAGATCAGATAGAAATTATCTTCATCTTCATAATGGTTATAGAGTTTAACGATATGGTCATGCTCAAGTTCGTACATAATTCTGACCTCCAGCTTAATCTGCTCAACCAGATCATTTTGGATAATCTTGGCCTTGTTGATGACCTTGATGGCATATATATTTCTAGATTTCTTGTGTCTGACCTTATAGACCTTCCCAAATCCTCCAACTCCAATACCAGAGTTCTCCATGGGTTCAAAGTCTTCCTTCCTTCATTCTCTTTCTTCTCCATTCAGCACAGATTGTGAGAGGAAGAGGATTCTGTTCTTAACCTGATTGGTATTGCTCTCGATTTCAGCGGGGATCTCAACCGGCTCCATTTTTATAACCAAATATGATTTTCAACCCTTAAATGCAATTCTGGGGTTTTGGGGTTTTGGGGTTTTGGGGTTTTGGGG